CATACCTCATACCTGATCTCCCCCTCCTCTATCTGCCAGCATTCATCACCAAGATGGCCATGCGCAGTGATGTCACAGCGGGTTGTCACCCGATATCCGCTCAGGACACCCCTGCTCAGATGTGAATGGGAGCTCGAAGATCCGTTTAAGGCTTTAATTCCTGACATGTCTCAACATATAGCAACAGGATCCGTTTAAGGAAAGAAAAAAATAAAAATACATTCACAGGCGTATACATGAGGGGGGGGGGGGGGGAGATTTATCAAAATTGGAGCAGACAATCTGGAGCAGTTGCCCATGGCAACCAATCAGCATCCCTCTTCAGTTTGCAGAGGTAAGATTTGAAAATGAGACAGAGAAGCTGATTGGCTGCAGTGCAAATCTTCTCCAGTTTTGATAAATTCCCCTAACTATATGAAAGTTGTTTTACCTGCCAGAGCATCTGCGATTGGCTTTGTTCTGCTTCTCCCTTTCCCAGCCTGAGCTCTGTTGTACAGGGACTGCAAGAGGCTGGGATCTGCTCCCTTTCAGGCACCTACATTGCTTGTATTAAAAAAAAAACAAAAAAAAAAACATCTTGATTGCAGAGCTGCATTCATTTGTCTTTCATATCCACCTGGAGTTCAGAGCTTTATATAAAACGTTGTTACATAAGACTCAACTGAACACCTTTGTCATCATGTACCTGGTGGTTTCCCTTACACCTCCGGTCCAGCACCCCAGAAATTAGTATGCAGGGCACAGGGTGGCACAGGTGCCTATAGCTGGTGTGGATGCAGCAAGGTGTCAGCGGGCTGACTGGAGAGTACCAGGGACCAGCAACAGTCAGGCAAGGTCAGAAGACAAGCTGCGATCAGGCACAGCAGAGGCTGTAGGCAAGGAGCAATGTCGGGGTACAAGCTGGAGGTCAGACCGTTCTGTTCCTAGAAGACTTGTGTCATACCTCCTTTGGACCCCAATCCTTCTGGGAAGGATCCACAGACAGCTTAACTCTCCCAATAAGACACGGAAGATTAAAGCCAACATAGGTTTACTTTACATAGGCTGTTTGCTGGTCACATGAAGTGTGAAAAGACAATGATCTCCTAAAACCAAGGCTAGAAACAAAGGAGGGTGCAAGGAAGGTCTAAGATTATATCAACTGACATTATGGGCCCTGTCACACCATCAGGAGTGCATTCGGCCTCTGGAACGCAACCCGGCCGGCTCAGGTTTTTTTTTGGGGTGTTTTGCAGCATTTTTTGCAGATTGCACTAGCCTGGAACGAAGGCACTAATGTGCCACGCATTCGGGTGCCGGCAATCACACCACATAGCTGTGGTGCCATTGAGTTCAATGCACCACCACGCACCCTCCCCCCCAAAAAAAACTGAGCCAGCTGGGTTGCATTCCATTGCTTTCCAGAGGCCGAACGCACTCCTGATGGTGTGACAGGGCCCTAAACAAGGGGAGAACAGTGGGAGATACCAATGTATACAGAAAAAGGGGATGTAATACCGCTAACCTACCACTAGATGTCAGGCATATACCAAAACAATATGCAATGGAATACATAGCAGTGTACTGGCAATAGCAGAACAGTGGCAGAACACATGCACAGCCGAGCCGCAGAGATACCGAGGTGATAGGCAGAGAGCAATGTCAGGAGTACAAGCTAAGGTCAGAAAGCAGCAATGGGCAGAGTTGTACATGAGCTTCATTGAAGAGAATATATTTATTTTAAAAAAGGATTAATAGAATATTGATTGTGGCCGCTCTTGGGGAAATGTGCATCAAGACTGAGGTGTCAATGGGGGCTAAAGCAGAAAGGGGTGGTAGGGAAAACAGGGCTCTATATTGAGTGGAGTGAAAATATTGAGTCTGAACAGGATACATTGCTTATTAGACACTGATCACCACGGTTTTACACCGAGGGCCAAGACTCCAGCTTAATGAGCATTACATATACATCTTGTGCTGTACAATGGAGTGGTATTGGCAAATGAAGGTCAATGGGCGGAGAAGTGTCACTATACTAAGGATTTGACCTGCACATAGAGTCTGCCTTAAAGGAGAACTATGAGGCGAGTGCTTTTCACTCACCTCATAGTTCTAGCCGACCTGTGACAATGAGACTGTCACAGGTCGGCTCAGTAGATCGGGAAGCGAGCGAACACATACCGGCGTTCGCTCACCTCTCGATCCTGTCACAGCTCTCTGCCGTGACAGGGGAGGGGCTGGATTACCCGCTCCGCCAGTGCTGCCTGGCGGATTGGATGGGGAGGGGCGGGTACAGCTGGCTCTGCCTTTAGATAGGCAGAGCCAGCTGTCACTCACACAGCTGGGCGGATCCAGACAATTGTCGGGATCCGCTTCAGCGTTTCAGTATACCGCAAGCTGTAGCTCGCGGTATACTGAGCTTAGGGTGACGGGAGGACGCTAGTTTGTATCCTCCCGTTACCCCAAGGAGAACTATGGGGGAAAGCCCTGACCCCATAATTCTCCTTTAAGCTGGCCATACACCTTACAACCATCGCAAGACTAGTCTTGCGATGGTCTTAAGGTAATTATAAATGTACAATCTGCCCATCTTGGGCAGGCAGATCGTGCTTGCGATCATCGCAAGCTTGCCCCGCTGAGGGGCAGGCACCTGATGACTGTTGTGCCGCATGAGCTTGTGCACACCAGCCCGTGCGGCATTTGTCTCCATACGCCACTAACCCGCAGACAAACCGTACGATTCTTGGCAGGTTTTCAAGCCTGCTCAGGCGACAAAAGACGTGCAACTGTACAGTAGAAACAGTGGCACGCCTTCCATACACCTACCGATTGTACAATCGCAGGATTTCCCGCAATCGTACGATAATGGGCACCTTTAGAGTAAGGTTTCAACCAATCAAGGGTAGTCAACACTCCAGCTTTGAAGGACCTACAAGTCCCATGAGGCATTGCAGGACTTCACAGCCACGACTCTCAGATGACAGGCATGACAGGATTTGTAGTTCACAGGAGTGCCATGGTTGCCTACCCCTGTTGCAGAGTTTGCACTAGACACAATACAAAGGAAGAGGCATGTGCTTGTATGGAGTGCTAGGGATCTGGAGACGAGGGCAGTAGGCTGAGAACATCTTGTTTAGAGCAATGATCTAGTCAGAAAATTGTGAATGAGCCCCATTGAGCACCAATGGAATGGAATCTTAGCATAGGGTAACCTGTTGTAAGCAAAGCTCCATACTTTCTCTGACAGCGTGTCTATTGAAACCCTTTTGGTGTTTGCAGGTATTTGACTGGGAAGACGCGTCAAATACCAGTTAACAACCCCCAGCCATGGTTTCTCCTGCTACTTTGCACATCCTGTAGTAACAAGCCAGTAGGAGAAACCATTGCATGAGGTGGGGGAATCTGGGGTTTTTCATACCTGGAAGTGAGGAATACAGCAGCCAGTGATCACAGCAAGAGGCAGTGCGCAACAAACTGGCTACTGTGAGGTATAGAGCAGAAGTAGTCAAACGCCAGCTGTTGTGACGCTATGAATCCCATCATACATCTACCCAAGTCATGCCTGTGGCTGTCAGTCTTGCAGTGCCTCATGGGTTTTGTAGTCACCACAGCTGGAGGACCAAAGTTTCTGCAGCCCTGGTATAGAGCTTATTACAGGTACTGACCAGGTCAATCTAAACCCCAAGCGCCACCTTTGGATAAAGACCATTTAATGACACTATTTCCTTAAGGATCAATACTTTATATGCGAGCAGCTGGCTACTTTGAGAACTATGGGGTCAGGGCTTTTCCCCATAGTTCTAAGTGTAATGGGAGGACATAATCTAGCATCCTCCCGTCACCCAAAGCTCAGTATTAGCATCCTCCCGTCACCCAAAGCTCAGTATTAGCATCCTCCCGTCACCCAAAGCTCGGTATTAGCATCCTCCCGTCACCCAAAGCTCGGTATTAGCATCCTCCCGTCACCCAAAGCTCAGTATTAGCATCCTCCCGTCACCCAAAGCTCAGTATTAGCATCCTCCCGTCACCCAGCTCCCGGTATACTGGGACGCCACAGCCAGAACAAATCCTGGCAATGCCGTCAGTATCCACCCAGCTGTGTGAGTGACATCTGGCTCTGCCCATCTAGAGGCAGATCCAGCTGTACCCGCCCCCTCCCGCCACTCAGCGCTGGAGGATCGGGGAATCCCTGCAGGGAGCCATGAGTGAGTCCCGGCTCTCTGCACGGATAGATTGAATAGTGAGCGAGTGCCGCTATGTGTTCGCTCACTTCCCGATCTATTGAGCCGACATGTGACAGTTTCATCACCACAAGTTGGCTCAGATTGAGGGGGGAAAAAAAACCTCCTCATAGTTGTCCTTGAAATCTGAGCCCTGCATAAGGCTGAAACACACTGTGAAAAGTGACACATTGATTCAATCTGCTGTACTGCAGTGCCAGTTAGGCCATACAGATAGGAGAGCGATGTGCATGGGTGGGTGAAGGCATTTAGCCCAATTTAATGCTTTCATAGCCCCTGCATACAGTTTATGGTTAATTTTGCATGGCAGTCCCTTAAAATAAACCCCATTGAGCACACAGCCTCTTGCCCTCCCCTACCAGTGCTTTATGGAAAAGTTATTCATTTAGACTAAAATCTTAATGGGCTGACTGAACACACTACTCTCCCCATAAGAGTTATGCAAACCATACAATAAACTTATTGGCCGTCTTGATTAGTTATAAGATTGCAAGTTATTATATCAGCTGAACCCATCAGCACCAAGCTACATTCATAGCTCTAGACTAGGACAGCCCCCCCATTGTTAAAGGGGGTTTTCTGTAGTCCTGTCCTAGGGCAGCAATACTGCTCCTCCATATAGTACACAAGTTGTGATCCTTCCTGCATATAAGGAAACGAATGCAGCCTACACTGCCATGGACTAGTAAGCTGCAATATCACTTTTGTAGTGCTGATACCTTGTAAGATTCTCTTCACGCCCCCCTCCCCCCCATGAAGAGACCAGACTACACACCGTGCTCAGTGTTTCACAATTTATTTATACACAGAAACTGACAGACGAACTAGTAAGGGGTGACTCCGGGCCCTGTCAGTGATTAAGACAAACCACCGGGTGAGATACTGGGCCCTGCAGTGACAGAAGAGGGGATGACCGTGACAAAGACTTTACTCCTTGGTAGCGATGTAGGCTATGAGGTCCACCACACGGTGGCTGTAACCGCATTCATTGTCATACCTGCAAGACAGAAGAAACAAATGTCAGAACATGCAGGAGGAGCAGATTCAGTACCCCGAAGACATTAATATCCTGCAGGAACCAGAAAACCTTTAGGCATGCCTTCAAACCTTCTCATGGCACAATTGTTTCCCCATTTCCTAGGCTCTAGGTCTTTGCTATATATAGAATAGTCAGACCACCAGGGAAAACCTTTCTAATATCGAAGGAATCTGGTTTACACCCCATAGAGCAGGGGTAGTCCAACTCTGGCCCTCCAGCTGTGGTGGAACTACAAATCCCATGAGGCATTGCAAGATTCTCACAGCCACAACTCCTGGAGAGATGCATCATGGGATTAGTGCCACCACAGCTGGAGTCTGGCTACCCCTCCCATAGAGGAAAATCCAGCCTCTGACCTGTGACAGTGGACACCAAGACAAAGAAACCTAGGATGTAAATAGCACAGGAACAAAAAGGTAAGATCTTCCCATTGGGGACACCCGTAGAGGTGAGACCTGCCTTCATAGCCAATCCCGTGTCCCCAAGGCAACATTAAAAAGTCACTACACCCTACTGTTGGCTGTGTTCCACTTTGTTACACCCAGCGATATTACCAGACTAATAAAATGCTTGCAGGGCAGATGCTTGGAGGCCAGTTTGTGAGCTTAGGCACAACCCCAGAAGCTTTTGTACACTGGTAAGGTTTACACAAGACAGCAGCATAGCTGGGAAATAATGTATGCATGCGGGCAGGAGCATGCGGCAACATCGTGCAGTCTGGCAGGGCTGACGATTGTGTAGTCCAGCAAGCAGAGCCGACCATGCAGCTTAGAGGATTTCAGCCAAAGTTGCATGACACTACAGATAGTGTTGATCTGCCATGAATACAGTATAAAGGCTGCAGCATGCAAGCTACGGAAGCTTATCATTTTGGATACTTTAGAGTGCATAGCTGCAATCCTGGAGGCATGCTTGTGATCTGCAGGGAGGGGGAGGGGACATTACTGCGCTACTCACCAGGTAACTAGTTTCACAAAGTGCTCATTCAGTGAAATGCCAGCATCGGCATCAAAGATGGAGGAATGGGTGTCACCGTTGAAGTCAGAGGAGACAACCTATAAAGACAAAGATCCAATTTTAGACACCATTGATTTGTAGACGTTGCGTTATACATGTGATCAGCGAGAAGCATACCTGGTCCTCTGTGTATCCCAGAATTCCCTTCATCGGTCCCTCAGCGGCTGCCTTTACTGCGGCTTTGATGGCTTCATATTTGGCCTGAAAGACAAAGCACATGTGTTAAAACTAAGGGAGGGGTGAGAGGGGGGACTTGAAGTCCATTAGTCTTTTGTTCATACTTACAGGCTTCTCCAGGCGGACTGTCAGGTCAACCACAGACACATTGGGAGTGGGGACTCTGAATGCCATACCGGTGATTTTTCTGTGGACAGAGGATAGTAAAGTCAGTTTTCTTGCTACAGTCACATTATAGTTTTGCCTGTAATGACTAATCTCTACAACTAAAAAGTGTTGCCAGCTTCACAGCTTTGTAATGCACCTTGTGCTTTAAGTTGAAGGATAAAAGGGGATAACATTTGAATCTTAGGCTGGCAGATGACACATGGAGTAGATGACAGGCCAAAGCAAAGCCGTCAGGCAGAATTGCCTTCCAAGTCCAACCCTGGCATCAATTTTGTTTAGATAGACCCCCAAGCAAGGAGTTAAATTTATTATATGTGCCTTCAAACCAGACCTGTCCACTAGAGTATTGCCTGCCCCCCCCCGATCAACTACTACATCCCAAGTTAAATCAGGACACTTCAACTTAATTCCAGCATGTCAATACTACATAACTATCCCACCTCGACCTAACCACTGAACCTTCACATTCTCAAATAATTCATCCCCACACAGCTCCCTCCTTATGTATCATTTCCCCCCCCCTCTTTCAGATTGTAAGCCTTCAGGGGCAGGGCCCTCCTTACCATCTTGTATTGTAACTAACGTCTTCCTTATATTGTAAAGCGCTGCGCAAACTGTTGGCGCTATATAAATCCTGTACAATAATAAATAATAATCTGGCATTGTACTGCAGAAAACAGAACGGCCTTGGAGTTGAGTACTCCAAGAAGTTGGCCTAGCGTGCAGAGGACATAGGTCATCTGTTTCTTGGCACATTGACTGCATCAGAAGACTAACATACCCATTCAGGGCAGGGATGACTTTGCCAACAGCCTTGGCAGCACCAGTGGATGCTGGGATGATGTTCTGGCCGGCGCCTCTGCCGTCACGCCACAGTTTGCCAGATGGTCCGTCCACACACTTCTGTGTAGCAGTGTAAGCATGGACAGTGGTCTGGAAGGTAAGGACAGTCAGATCAGGGTTACCCTTACCACAATGGAGCACAGCACAGACCATCACGATTCACATCTGAAGACTTACCATCAGGCCCTCCAAAATGCCGAAGTTGTCATTGATGACCTTTGCAAGAGGAGCCAGGCAGTTGGTGGTACAGGAGGCATTGCTGCAAGAGAGTAGTGCAGTGTTAGTCTAGCCTGACCCATACTCAGCATTAGTTTAATATCCATTGCCAACAAAGAACTCAAGATTCCCCAAAATGGCCTATTTGTCATTCGATTTGCATATCATGGTTGCAAGCTATGACCACACCTAGTTAGTTGTGTGCCCGCATCAGTACAGCACAAGTAAGAAGCCACATGACCACTAGAGCAGTTTTTGGCCTTCATGGGCAATGCAGGACCAAAGGCCACTATTGGTGCCACATGGTAGTTGGACAGAGGGCCTGTCCACATTCTGGGATGAGGGTCAAGAGGTGGCTACCACAGGTCTGAGGACTAGGGTAATTACTGTATTACATGAAACAAGCCCACCCAAACCACCAATACTCTGCATTTCAGTGCCCCTCTTCTTCCTCACAGCCACCAACATACCCTGTGCCTGCTGAGACAGATAGGCCACTGGGCCTGAGCACTGATGTGGGAGCTCACATGTTGCCCCACAGCTAGAAGAACCAAGTCATTTACAGCAGTGGGGAGAGTGCTGACAGAATAAGATGGCTACAGGGTCTCTAGAAGGTTGCCACACAGGAATCACTTACCTGATAACTTTGTTTGCCTTGTCATAGGATTCATGGTTGACACCAACGACATACATGGGGGCATCGGCGGAAGGAGCAGAGATGATTACACGCTTGGCACCTCCCTTCAAGTGAGCCTGATAAGCGGAAGGGAGAAGTCTTACAATTCAACTACAAGCACTGCATGATATGAGAAAGATCATACACAGGGGCGTAACTAGAAATCACAGGGCCCCATAGCAGCATTTTGTATGGGGCCCTGTGATGTCTTAGATTTAAGAGGTAGGGTTGCTCTTAGGTGGGCCGCACCTCCTTCACTGCGGACGCCGGCCTGTTCCGCCACAGGTGCTGGCTGTCACTGACAGCTCCGCAGCAGCTGTGAGTGGAAACGCACTGTGGCCACTGCACACATCACTGACAGGTTGTCAGTGATCTTCACAGCTGTTTGAGCTGCGTCAGTGACAGCTAGCACCCTTACATGCCATGGCAGGCCACAAAGCATCAGAGGGATGCCCTGACAGGGCCCGGGCCCCTGGGTCTCTATGGTGATTGTTACACCACTGATCATACGCAAAGGCAATCTGTAAATGCAATAGAGTCTTTTCAAAGTAGATCCACACTCCCCTTCTACTCCAAAGCATTACCCTTCAAAATATCCAGTATTGACAATCGCATCGTGCAAGGACATCACCACCCCCCCCCCCCCCCCACCCCTCCCGGTCCACACCCTGAAAAACCACACC